TAAGGTTTTTAAGTATCACCATTTCAAAATTAAGATTTGAGGTTTTAAATTTCAAAAATCAGGTTTTCATTAAAATTTATTTATAAATTAATTAATTAATTATATATTTTATTAATAAATATATAAAGGTCACAGATCTATACAATTTGGTCACAATTTAAAAATTTTAAGGTCACAATTCAAAAATTTTATAGTCACTATTCGTTCATCGGTCAAAAATTAAAATTTTAGAAGTCACAATATGTTCATCATTACAAATCACAAAATTTATAAGTCACACAACTTATTTTATGGTCGCAAAACATCAAATTATAGGCCACACATTACTTTTATTGGTCACAACTCGACTATAACTTAATAAAATGTAAGTCACGGTCACAATTTTTAAGTCGCATATTATTAATTTGTAAAAAATTAACCAATTATTGGTCACATACACCCACATCCATCTCATCCCACCCACGACCGCACACACCCAACGACAACTGTTGCTGCCGCCGCCGTCGCACGCACACACACACCCACCCAACCGCAACAGCAACCAGCGCCGCACGCATGCACACACCCAGCCACCATCCTCACCGTCGCCGCCGCAGCCAGCCTGTCGTCATCGTATCCGATACAAAAACCACAAGCACCACCGATCTACTCACCCCACCACCACCGTCTAATCACCTTCACCACCCAAGCGGGATAGTCACCATGACCAAAGCTAACACTACCAAGGTTGTGCCGGTTCGATTTCCATTGCCCAACTCGACACCAAAACCATAAACACCACTGATCTACTCACCCCACCACCACCTGTTCAGTCACCTCCACCACCTAATCAGAGAAATCTTCGAAGAAGATCGTCGCGGGAGTGAGAATAGAGAGCGAGAGAGAGAGATAAGTGATAGAGAAATAAATTATGGTTTGAGATTAAGAGCATGTTTGATTTTCATTATTGTAGAATGAGAATGAAAAATATAGTTGTTATTGGGCCCCACAAAATAGATAGAAATTCAAAATTGATGGCTTGATATGATGGATAACGGTCATATTTTTCATTTTTATGAATGGAAAATGAGAAACAAACGGGCCCTTGAGATGGGTGGGTGGGGTTGTGTTAGGTGAATATGTAGATTACTTTAATTTATATTATGTTAATTATAACCTGATTTATGAAAAATTAAACTTAAAATCTGACTAATGAAGTGTAAACTTTAAAATCAAGACCATGTGTAATTTCCTCAAATTTTTCTTTTTTATTTTTAACAAGAATTTGGGTTAAGTCTTCCAATTTTTAAAACCAATTTGCTTCTAGGTTGGGGCTGGGTTGTGCTTTTTAAAAACCAATTTGCTTCTGGGCTGGGGCACACTCACACACAAATTGGAAGTCATTCATACAAAAATTATCAGTTTTGAATATCTTCTCCAAAAGACTTTAGAATTGCCTTTAATTAGATCCCAAACATGCTAAATGAAATTTCACCTTATGGCTCCTGAAAAGAAGCTCTTCTCTTCGTTCATTCTTCCAAGAAACAACCTGCGCACCATACAGAAGCACCTACAGCAACAAATGAACAAGTTATATAACTTTGTACTGCAATCAAAATAATAGCAATTTGTGGCCTGAGCATACAAGCATGGAAGTAGTTATTTAGAACGGATTCCGTTTTTAAAAACAAAAGGAAGAAGAAGAAGAAGAAGAAGAAGAAGAAGAAGATTAATTTGGATTCAAATGGTGATTATTTTCCTTAAAAGAATTCAAATGGAACTTTAGCTTTTACAAATATATTTTATATTCCACTTTCACTTCAAATAGTAACTCTTAATTCCAATTCAAAAGCCCTAAACAGAGAAAGAAACATATATAACGAAAAAGAACAGTGAGAGCAATTATAGTTTTAATGAATCAGAATAAAATAAACAAACTAAATACAACATAAATGTGAACTCAATGAACTTATTCCAGTCCCCGTAATAATACAGACCAACTCATAAGGCTGAAGCCTGAAATCGAGAAAGGGAAGGAAAAAAAAAAAGTGCGAACCTCGGCTGTCGAACCGGCGGGCTCAGTCAATATAATCCGAGATGATCCATCGCCGTCCTGAATCATGTTCACCGGCATCGTAATTTTCCTCAATTTTTCTCTCAAACTCCTCCGGATTGGGTGTAGTATTCCTTTCCTCCACTCCAGCTATTCGCAAAAACACATAAAATAAAGACACGTAGTGAAGAAATCAAAAACATAATACAGCTAAATAATTGAGCACGAAAATAATAATAAAAACGGAAGAAGAAAGTAATCATACGTTTTCGTGCACAGAAATCTATAATCAAACGATTAACTTAATAAATAGACGGTTTGGAGTTGGAGTTTGAAGAACAGGCCACCAACTTCACAGACAACTCCATTATTATTACAACAAGGATATATAACAAGAGGAATAGTAATTTTTTTATTTTTTTTTTTGAAGAATACGTGGTTAAAAAAAAAGAATTTTGAATTTATTTATAATAGTATTTTATAAGAAAACGTGTGGTTGATAAAAATAAAGAAAAAATGAATTATAATTTAATAGAAAATAATAGGGGGCCAAACGGGGGAATAATCATCTACTCCTTCCGTCGCATAAAGATAATCATGTTTTCTTTTAATATGTCCCAAATTATTGTCTTGTTTCTTATTCGAGAGTGTAGTTAATATATTAATTTCCTACACTATTTAGCGTGCTTTATTATCACAAATATAAACTACTCCATTAGTTAATTGTAATCTGAACAATAAATTAAAAATAAAAATAAAATATTTTATCTTCCATGATATTTATTCATTTGTTTTTGTATTAAATGATTTTGGAATATTAATTACCTTGATTCTTGTATTAAATAATGATTAGTAAAGAGAACAATTTAATTACCTTGAATATTGCATGCATAATTTTATTATGCATTAACTGTATTAGAAAAAATAATAATAAAATTTAATATTTCAACTGTATTAACTATATTTTTCTTAATTTATTTATAAATAGAAATAGAAATATTTTTATAAAACAGAGTGTATAATCAATCGAACTAGGAGAACAACGAAATTCACAAAACTTACAATGAATTATACGGTTATTAAGTCCCGTTTGGGCCACCTTTTTATCTCATTAAAATAAAAAATATGATCGTTATCCATCACATCAACATTTAAATTCAAATTTTCTATCTCTTGTGTGGACCCCAATAACGATTATATTTTTCATTCTCATTCTTCAAGAAGATAACTTAAACATGGCCTAAACGTACAATTGATTTTTCTCATCGGATTCTTTGTGGGTCCTTTTAAGCTAGCAATCGGACCTACTAACACTAGCTTTTTGGGCGCTTCTAGCCAGCCACTGGCTGGTGCATGTGGACCGTCCATATCAGCAAACAAAAATATAGTACACGGCCCCACAGACGCCGACTTTTTTTTCTTGTTTTTTTCTTTTTATTGTTTACGTTTTAAATCAATAGACTAGATGCCTAACTGGGTCCCACAAGCAGGGGCAGACCCACGTGGGATCATGTGACACTTCAGAATTTTCTGATTAGCTTGCCCAATGTTCATTGCCTAAGCACAATTAGTTGCACAAGCCCAATTGCCCCCATTTCCTTACAAAATTACTGTTCTTCGGGGCTTTACCTCTCTTTTAATCATTTCCCATTTGCCCTAAGCCTCGAACCCCATTTCCCAGAGAAGGATCGACAAAGAACTCCACTATCGAGACCGTCACGGCTATTTTCTCACTTCTGCTTTTGCTTTGTGTCATAATTTTGTAGTTTTCCACCTATTCAAGTAACAAATTATCCACCTACTTGCTTGATTTTACATATTTCTATTCTAAAATTCATTCGAATTTGAGAATAATTGTCAACCCCATTGCTTGTTATCTTGTGATTCTTGTCAAAAAAATTTCACAAATCGCGGATAAACCTAATAATGTTCGTATTGTTTAAATGATTTTAGGAGATTGGTCATTGGCTCATTGGTTAGCTTCGCTTGGTTTCGGTATTTATTCATATTAGATTTAATGTTGCTGTCTTAAGAGGAATTGGGGTTTAATTCAATCAATTATACAATTTTCAATCTTTCGAAATACAAAAATAAATATTTTTCATAGTTTCAATTTTCAACTAAACAAGTCCTATTTAATAGACTTATAGGAATTTCATATATATTTTCAAAGTTTACAACAAAATACGAGTCTCAAGATCATAATTACACAATGTAGATAGTAAAAATCTTATTTAACTTTTTATCATATAAAGTCATTTTTAACTTTTGTATGGATAAAGTCTTTTAAATTTTTGAAATTAAAGGCAAATGATTTAAGAAAAATTAAAAACTAAAATCAAATAAAAGAATTTTTTTTTTTTAAAGAAAAAAATTAATAAAACGTGCGACGAAGAGAGGAATCATATATATATATATATATATATATATATAAAGTACCTTGGCCGCTTGGCGCAAAACGATGCGTTTTGCCTAAGCTTCTAGCTTAAGCAATACCTAGGCGTCGTCTAGACAAGATTTATTGAACACTGATTTAAAAAATTGTAAAAAAAAGAAAAAAAAAATATATATATNGCAGATTCTCAAGTATGTATGTAAATGTAACTAGAATCTGTTCAAAAAAATAAATAAATAGATGACGACGACGACGATGATGATGATGATGATGACAGATTCTCAAGGGTATATGTAAATGTAACTTGAATCTGTTCACAAAAAAAAATGGGAAGTTAATCTTCAACAATCCATACATACGGGTTTCTTCTAGACTTTCTCAATTCCAATGGAGTTTTTATCAATTTGGTAAGCTATTGCCTCACCAACTTGTTAGTCAGATGGAAGCCACTCCTCGGCCTGACAATCCATAAGCTACAAAAACAGTTGAAAGAAGCCCTTGTATCCACCATTTTCCCATCCTGATTGAGAGACCTCGAGGACCCTAGTTTACGGATTTCTCGTGAACATTCCCTCGGCAATACACAATACGCCATTGTTTCATCATAAGGTTTATTTCAGCAACTGTCTAAAAAACTTCAAAATAATTATTGAAGTGATTTTCTTACAGTAGTAGTCACTCGAATTTTTCAAATGGCTACACTCAATGTGTATCTAAATCCAACTTGCTCCAAGTTTATAATACTCATTGATAAGATATTTTATGACAAAACAGACAAACCATAAGCCAAATATCCCATAGTTGATTAGCAATTTTTGCATGGATTTGTATGCTTCAAGAAATTATACCTATCGTGTCTAACTAAAAGAAAGGGCACAAAATTTTAAACAATAACATCACCTAAAAGATCACATTTGGATTTCGATCTCAATCGCCTTCCATCCAAGGAAGTGGCCATCCGGTCTGCTGAGAAAAGTGGAGGATAACTCACTCAGAGAGCAATTAAGAACCATCAGTTGAAAAGATTTGTAGAATAAATGAAAAATACCGTCTTTAAAGCATCGAATAGCCAAAGGGTTCGCTCCACAATATTTAAGCCTGAAAAATCACAGACTAGCAGTGTAAAGGCATATGATTGGTGTTCACCAGCCCTAGCTTCATCAACTGGAGTAGGTTTGTGGCTCCTAGCTGCCTAAGCTCATCTGTTTGCCATATTGAAGTTACCTCCCTCGCCTATATCATCAGAAAGACTCAACTCAAGGGCCCATGAAAATTTTTCGAAAAAATTTCTTGGCATTTTTTCCCACTGTTCTAAGGAGTGCCCACCAGATCTTTTATAAGCATCGGAAGATCTTCATGCCCAAGGTACGTTGGTTTATCTGTGTTGGATGTGCTGTGAGGACAATTTCAACCCGCCTGCAGCACTAAAAACTATCACATATCCCGAACAACTCTCCTCACCATTAAACAATAACAAAGAGCAATAAAGATCTGGATATCATCAATTAACAGTAATTTTTCCTTCAGGATCAGCACGAAAAATTGTCACATTGCCCGCGTACTTGTAGCCTCCTACACGAGAGCAATCAGTCACACCAGGAGAAGGCTTGATATTCACAAGAACATCCTCGACAAAGCCAACCAGAAGGACGTTTCACCAGTATACAATCAAATTGTCACACAAACTAGCACAAGCTCATAGGAAGTTTGAGAACAGAAGCCATACTAATAGGAGAAATTTGTTAAAACCAGAAAAGTTATAGAAAAACATGATATCTCGAACTTAATCCTGATTCCAGATATAACAGAACACATAGAAACACTGGCCAAGTCAAACTCACCAGCTTGACTCTACCACATCAATTGGCATGTTCTTTTAGAACCAAAATGAACAGTCGATCTCTTCAATTAATGTCACCAATAATCCCCACAAGAACAAGATCCATCTCTAAAATGGTGGAAGCGGTTGATGTCTCTAATAATTATTTCCCGTGAAACTATTTTACAGATATACTTGAATGCTGTATGGCAATCCAAACAGATTTGGAGGTTCTTTTTCACACGAATAGGAGCTCCTGGTGGGGTGGCAATCAGTGCAAAAGCTACTGCAAGTTTCTCACTATGGTATGAGAGAAGAAGCTCCTTCTCTCTTTCCAACATCATGGAGGTCAATCTCTGTCATAGGAATGTATCCAGCTTTGGCCATTAAGTGGCCCAACTCCTCAAGTTTTACATATATCTCTTCACTTCTCGAATGGCTTCTATCTCCTACTATAAAAGTATATATTTTGTCCTTTACCTCTATCCAACTCATACCTGGTTCCTTCTTCACTTTTCTGTCTTTCATCAATCTTCTAACTTTTGCAACATTTTCCCATGATCCTGCAGATGCATAAATATTTGCAAGAAGAACATGAGTACCAGATTTTTCTGGTTCAAGAATGAAGAGCATCTCAGCAGCACGTTGGCCTATATCTATATTTTTGTGAATCCTTGCGGCACCAAGAAGTGCCCCCCAAATGGAGGCATTAGCTTCAAATTGCATCTTATCTACAAGATTCATCGCAGCATCCAATTTTCCTGCTCGGCCAAGGACATCAATCATGCATGCATAATGCTCTGGTGTTGGTTCTATTCCAAATTCCACTTTCATTTTCTCAAAATATTTTTGGGCTTCGTCAACTAGACCAGCATGATTACACGCATAAAGGACACTAACTAATGTTACATGATTTGGAGATACACCATCCTTTAACATCTCACCGAATAATTGTATGGCCTCTTTACGATGCCCATGTTGTGCGAAGCCCCCAATCATTGCAGACCAGGAGACGACACCTCTCTCAGGTATCTCATAGAAAGTACGACCAGCATTCTCTATGCTACCACATTTGGCATACATGTTGACAAGAGAATTTCCCGCAAAAACGTCGGAGATGGATCCAAGTTTCAATACATGAACATGGATTTGTTTCCCCTGTTCATACGCTGATAACGTTGCACATGCATTAAGGAGAGAACTGCAAACAAATGAATCTGGCTTAAGATCCATTTCCAGCAGACAAAGCTTCTTCACCTTGTCCATATTGAGCATAAGCTGTAATTACTGAAGTAAAAGATGGCAAATCTGGTTAATACATTCTTCAAAAACTCTCGAAGCATCACCCACATGGGAGCATTTTCCATATGAATCGACAAGACTGTTTAGAACGAAGTTATCAGATTGGTACCCTGACTTCACAACTAGGATGTGAATTTGTCTACAGACATGAACATTCTGCAAGCCAGCAGTTGCATTGAGGACTGCTAGTAAAGATGCCGGATCAAATCCCATTTTTTGGTTGTACATCTCCACAAATAGGTTTAGAGCTTCTCCATCTTCCCCATTCTGTAAGTATCCAGAGATCATGGCATTTAGCGCAATCAAGTCCTTTTCCGGCATCAAATTATACAGAATCCCTGCATCCTTCATCAAACCACATTTGCAATACATGTCAATCAGACCAACACGCACATGTGAATCCATCACTGAATCCATCTTTATCAAAGTGGAGTGTAACTGCATACCCAATCCATGGAAACCCAACGCTGAACAAGCTTTAAGAGCACTTGATAAGGTGAACATATTCGGGCGTACTCCCAATCTTTTCATCTGATCCAACAATTTCAAAGCCCTGTCATAATATTCATGAAGTACACAACCAGATATAAGAGCATTCCAAGAAACAATATCAGATTCAGTAATATTTTCAAAAACTGCAATCGCATCATCAAGAACCCATGCCTTTGCGTACATATCAAAAAGTGCATTTGACGAGAACGGATCGCTTTCATATCCAAGTTTCACCAAACAGCCATGAATCTTCTTCCCCTGATTAATATCTCCTAATCCAGTTGCAGCATTCAGTAAAGTTGACAGACTAAACTCATCAGGCCTACTTCCACTACCAACCATTTCTTGAAACAATCCCAAAGCTTCCCTAAATGAATCACTCTGTGTATAACAAGAGAATAAAGCATTCCAAGAAACAACGTTCCTTTCCGAGATTTCATCAAACAACCTCCTAGAATCCAATAAGTAACCACACTTCGCGTATAGGACAACTAAAGTATTCGCAACATAAACATCGGATTCAAACCCAGTGACCAATACAGCCCCATGAACTTGTTTCCCAAGGAGAAAGTCTTTAGTACTCGCGCAAGCCTTGAGTACGCTAGGAAAGGTGAACTCGTTACATGCATTTCGCGAAAAGCCAAAAGCGCTTCTTTACCAAGGCCATTCTGCGCATACCCAGATATCAAAGACAACCAAGAAACCAAGTCTGATTCGGGATATTCCTCGATCAGCTTCCGGGCATATCCAAAAAGTTTACATTTGGCGTACAAATTAATAAAATGATTCCGGTGTGTAGAGTCCTCGGACAATCCCATTTTGGTTAGGTGGGCGTGGAGTTGGAGACCCGGGTTAAGTGACCTGGCTTGGGAAAGCAGTGATAATCGCTTCGAGTAGGAAACAGAGGTTGACAGAAACTTTCGGGTCAGAGTGGAGGGTTTTAACAGTAGGTAAAGTTTCAGATTTTTTTGGAGAGAATTTTGGCGCCAATGATTCATCGTAGTCCATTTGTAAATTAAGGGAACTTCATGTTCAGTGTTTTTTTTTCTCCCGGATTGTTTGGGGAAAATGTAGCAAGATATAAATTTACGTTATTGAGCCTTGAAGAGATCTGAACCAAAATCGAACGCGCCTTCGGGAATTTATAGTAAAGTAGCTTTACAGACGAACGCTGGTTAATGGGTGTGTTGAGGTGCGAGTTAATTAAATGATCAATCATTAACATTTACCTTTGGTTACCACTTGATCACCCAAAATTGAAAGGTTACACATTGCTCACCCACATTTAAACAAGGTTACTCATCCATCACCCTTATAAATTCCATTAGTCTACTTGGACGGAAAATTCCACGTGGCATATAGAAATCCTACTGGCCACTAACAATATTAAAAATGACAGCTAGACAAAATATAATTAATTCAAAAGTGTAATCTCTTAAGACAGGAAGAATTGTTCTTTATCTTTTCAATGTCCATCCATTTCTAAATTTCCCCAATCTTCACAGCCAAATCGAAATCAATTTCTTCTCCCCAATTCATTCCCAAATCGGCTTCTCATGAATTGAATCCAAAATCAAAGAAACAATATCTCCTTCCCAAGTTTGTTGTGAAAATGAAACCAACCTTTTGCTTACTGGAATTCATCTGTTAACCATCTGTTCTTCGTGTCTGTCTATGAGTATGGTCCTTCCTACATTGCTTTCATTTTTTTATGTAAGAGGTCCTAATTTCCCCAATCTTCACAACCATGGGTTTTCACATCTGGTTGTTGTACATATTGGTGAGAATGAGTGTGGTCAGATTGCGGTGCGATTTTGGAGGTTGAAGCAGCGGTCGCCATGATGGCAAGCGCAAATCTTGAAGTAAAATGGGCAGTTAACCTGATCCTTCTCCGTTCCGAAACTGGACCAAGTGCTCCGCCATTGTTGCTTATTGATTGAATTGAGTACTCATTATTATTCAGCTAGGGTTTTATGGGTGGGATGAAATGGAGAAAATGCCGCATTGAAATTAGGGACAAATTAGATAAATGAAAAACCCAATTTTTTAAGAGTCTGATTTTTCCAAGTTGTCAACTTTTAACGTTGTTAGTGACCATGTAGGATTTCTATATGCCATGTGGAATTTTCCGTCCAAGTAGACTAACAGAATTAATAAGGGTGATGAATGAGTAACCTTTTTTAAACGTGAGTGAGCAATATGTAACCTTTTAATTTTGGGTGAGCAAGTGGTAACCAATGGTAAATGTTGATGATCGATCATTTAATTAACTCGTTGAGGTGCACACTTTAGGGACGCCAGTGGGCCGGGTCAAGCAGCCAGATGGACTGCATCTGGAAACAGCAAGGAGGCAGCAGCAGCAGTGGCAGCGGGGTTCGGCGGCGCCTAATGCGCAATTGCAGCTAGACACTGCTATGCCGCCGTTGTCGAACAACGAAGCATAGCGGGGGCTTTAGCTTGGCGTTTGAAGAGTTCACGGTGGCATTTACGATGGACCGAGTGTGAGCTTCGAGGAATTGGGCCAATTAATGCTTCGGTTGGGCCAACTCAACGATGGGAAATTTCATGCGATTATCATTCATTTAAAAACTAAAAAACAACTTAAACAAGGTTTAAAATTTCAAAAATTAGATATTAATTAAATTTTGTATATGAAATAATTAATTAGATATATATTTTATAAATTAAATATATTAAGATCACAATTATCAAATTAATTATCACAAATTATTTTTCGATAACAAATAAAAAATTTTATAAATCACAATTTATTCATCGATTGCAAATAAAAAAATTTATAGATCACAATTTATTTATCGACCATAAATTTCAAGTTTTATAAGTCACAATTAGTTTTAGATCACAAATCAAAAATTTTATAGATCACAATTTATTTATCGGTCATAAATTACAAGTTTTATAAGTCACAACTTATTACATGATCATAAATTATTAAATTATTGATCACAAATTAACAAATTTTTAGGTAATACATTATGTATTGGTCACAATTTATCTATTTCATTGATTATATATTGGTTATCGGTCACACATTAACCAATTTATTTGTCACAATCAACCAAATAATCTGTAACCACACCTCCCATTGCCTCCAGCCAAATCGTTGTTGTTGTTGTCACCTCTGCCACCATTGCCTCGCTACAACGGGCAGTACCAATACCACCACCATCTCCATCTTCTCAAACAAACCAAAATGTAACCACCAAAAACCACTGCTACTTCACCACAACTACGACATCAGCCACATCGATAACCACCACTACAAAATAGATCCAAAATCAGAGCTGCAATGGAAGAGACAACCGTTGCCACGACCACCACCACCCAAACACCACCAACAAATCAAATCCAACACCACCAGCATCCCACAACCGCCATCACCACACCAACTCACCGTCGTTGTCACTTCCACCATCGTTGCCATCACCACCACTACATTTTCAACCCCTACCACAACCACCACTCCTTCACAAACCTATCGGTAAGAAACCATCAAGATCTCAACAAACCACCAATACGAAAACTAGTAGCAAACCACAACGATCTCATAACAAACCACAATAAGTAACAAACCACCATTTTCACCTCAGCTACCAGTAACGATTCACTCAGATCTCAAAGATCTGCTTCACAGCACCATATTCGTTGTTGTGCAACGCTCATGCACAGTTGCGTGTGGTAGCATGCGTCGACATCGTCGCTGCGCTGCTACTTCTAGGAGTGGCGATCTGCATACAGCGCCATCGCTGCTATTGTGTCACTCAGCGATCCCGTACGAGCTTCAGATGGTGGTTGCGCGCTGCATAGTGATATTCCACGCAACTACGTACGGTTGTCACCTGCTAATGAATATGGTGTTGCTAGTGTTGGTGCTTCGGAAGTGTAGATAGTTGAGAGAGAATAGAGAGAGTAGTTTGTGAGGAATTAAGGTAGAGTGGAGAGATGTATTAGATAGAGTATAATAGAGAGAAAGTAGATCTATATTTAATAAATGTTAAATAATTAATTATAATGTTAAACAATTAATTATAATCAGAATTGTGAAATATGAAACTTAAAATATTGTTTATGAAATGCAAACCTAAAAAACAACCCTAGGTGTAATTTCCACTAAAAAGATTAGAAAATTACACCTACAAGTACTCCTAATCAGTTTTTGACTTTATTCTTTCAAAAATCAGTATATGTTATACCCCCATCGCACCTCACCTCACCTCACCTCACCTATTCATTTACTTATTTCCTGAGTCACAATTCACACCCACACCATCACAACTGATGTCCGTCGCCATCACTCGTCCCACCGCCATTTTCCACAGTTGCATACATAAGTAGGGTCAGGTTGCTACTATTCTAATAATGCACGGAGCTGCTACTACTTGGGTGCACCCCCGAGATGGCAAATCGTATGTGAACAAACGTGACGTCGACGGGTGCCAATGCCGCAAAGAAGAAGGGGAGAATAAAAATTAGGATTTGGGTTAGGATTTGGGAGCGGGGCATCTAATGCAATTTGCCAAATGCGTAATTGCATCTAGCCACTGGTACGCCGCCAATGGGGTTGAACAATGAAGTAGAACGTGGGCTGTAGCTGGTGTTTGATGAGTTCATGGTGGCATTTACGATGGACGAGTGTGAGCTTCGAGGAATTGGGTCAATTAATGCTTTGGTTTGGCCAACTCAACTAGAATTGGAAATAAGAAAAATGAGAAAATTTCACCTACTCCTAATCACTTTTTAACTTTATTATTTCAAAAGTCAAAATATATGCTATACCCCCTTCGCACCTTACCTCGCCCCACCCCATCTATTCTTTTCTATTCCCCAAGTTATAATTCACACCCACACCATCACAACGGATACCTGCACCACCGCCCGTGGCACCACCATTTCCCACAACCGCACACGTAAGCAGGGTCGGGCTGTTACTATTGTAATAACCCGCGACACTGCTGCTGTTTGGGTGCACTTTGAGATGGCACACCGCATGTGGCTAGACGCGGTGTCGTCGGGTGCCGACGCCGCAAATAAGAATGGTGAGTAAAAATTAGGATTTGGGGCACAACCTCTAGTGCAATTTTCTAAATTGCAGGTCCCTGTTTGCAATTTCATATTAGGAGTCAGTTTGCAAATGATTGGTGTTGGTGGTGGTGCGATGATTGTGAGGTGACGCGACGTTTGTGTAGTGCCGATGGTGATGGAATGAGGTGTATGAAGAGTATTTGTGACCAATTATTAGGATGATTAATATCAATAAAATGGATAATTTGTGATCAATAAATAATGTGTGACCGACGAAATGATAATTTGTGACTAATAAATAATATGTGATAAAAAAGTGTGATTGCGGCTAAATATCTTTGTGACAGTAACTTTGTGCAATTTGTGACTGTGAACCATGATAGTATGTTATTATGACATTAACCTATTGTGAGATTGATCTGTCATCAGGTGGTCACTGGTGATTTATGAAAGTATATTTTGAAACATTTGTAATTATCTATTTTTTCCCTAAGAAAATACAATATTCCCCCAAAATAGTTGAAGAATGCTCCCCGCAAACATCCCAAGAATTGAAAAATACGGTAAATGGTGATAGATTTTTAGGGCTTTCTTAAATTAGAGTTTCAAGAAGATTCTTGGTGTGAAATTTGAGGATGGCCTTTTGTGAATTATAGAGATACTTTGGATATTTTACCGAGTTTGGATTATCTGATTTTTGCAAGATAGGTGAGTGATATTTTTTTTGTTATATTACGTGCAGTTCAACGAGGTGAGTAATAATTTAGGAAATATAGATTTTGTTGATGATTAATTATTTTTCAATTATAATTTAGAAGACAGTGTTTTTCAATTTCTTCGGGTTAAAAACAACACATGACCTAATTTCTCAAAAAGCTCAGAACTCTCCACTCTCCAAAAGGAAATATAAATAGTATATGCGGTGGACGGCCAACCTGCCAAACGGGTCACTAGTTTTAATCAATCGATGATGATATAATTATTCGTGATTGTGTTATGCCCAACTAAATATAGGTGGACCTGCTCACAAATAATCTTCCAAAATTGACGATATGCACATAGTGGCAACAACGTCTACATATTTTACTTTAAATAAATTTGAACCCCACCATATTTTACTTTAAGGAAAGAGGTCGAGCTCTCCAATGGTGAAGTTGACCCACACAAGGTTGAGGAGTCCAAAGACTGGATCATACTCAACATTTAGGTGCAATTAAATGGTAGAAACCAAAAACAAAACATAATGCCTAAGTAAAGAACGAGGCTAGGTGTTCAAAGATCATATGGTCTCACTAGGTTTGAGAGGGAAGCATGTATACAAATTGACTAAGCCTTAAATAATGAGTCAAAGACACTTCGTTAAGCAATATTCATATGTGAAGACCAAACATCAAGAATGACTCCCCATATGATATGCGCGTCAGACTATCAACCCACGAGGGCTATCTATCCTTCCTACTTCCCCAAGAGAACGACTCGACATAGCATAGTAGGACGAGGTGAGCCTGCATCAATTGACTACTGCTGTTAATAAAAATGTTGTAGAAAGTTCATACGAAAAGTGATTCTTATCAAACGACTCAAACTACCCATTTCGAGTAGATGGTGACAAGTCAGCCGCTCATTACACCAACCTATGAACATGAATGAGCTTGCCCAAATTTGAAGATACCTTCTTTTGGCCCTCTGCTACTACACATATTCATCAATCCTTATTGACAAAGTAAGAAAAATATTTCCAAGCCAAAGCTCCTTCAATTTGTCTTCCCATTCCCATTTATTCCCATTTTCTATATTTTGATTTGAGCATCTGAGTGCCAACGATCACTGTACTCCCTTATAGTTCAGCGATCTTGCATTCTAACGTATGTCTTGAGTGTGCATGAGTTGTCTAGGTAGACGTGGAGGTGGTCGAGTTTCATTAACTTTAAGGTCGTCTAGATTTTAAGATCAACAAATACTGTTACGCCTTGCAAAACTAGGACCCATACGTGGCCCCTGTTAGTTTACGTGGCGAGTGGTTCGGGGCCCTACGCTTCATACACTGACAAGGACGACCTAACTCCACACGGACGACCCTTTTTAAAGTTTGAGCGACCCCGTGTAGAAAATGTTGGCCGGATCGACCCCATTACAAGAATCGGTCTAGGGCGAGGCAGTGATACTCATCTTGAACACATCTTTTGCCACGTGATTGACAAGACAACTCATTGTCGTTACCGTCGTCACAAACCTATTTGGCCAAGTCCAAGCCGCGAGTGAGGCTTTGTGGGTACAAAAGTAGTATTAGCATTTAAGGCTATGATTGATTGATATCTATGATTAGAAATGTCAATCATGTGGATGAGACCACGTGCATTGTCATCCGATAACCTTCATTCACCTTGCCCAAGTATAAAAGCTCACACTTAGTGCCCTTTAAAGATAATGCAAGTTTAGACTCTTAAAACTATATTCTTGCTATACACACATTTAATCATTCACCCCAAAGCTGACCCCACACTCATTTAATTATTTTTCCAACTGATTTGACTGTCGGAGTGCGCGCAGCCAACTTCACCCCTTCTGGAGGAGGTCACGTGTAACTAACGGTTTGTCCAAGTGTGCAAAAACTCAATTTGAGTAGACGTGAGAGGCCTTGGAATCTGCTGGCCACATCAAGGTAAGTTTTTTGGAGTCAACAAATACCATTATAAACTCATACTTAAAAATAGAATTGATTGCGAGAAAATGGTACTTGTACAAGTTTTGTTTTATAGACTGTTTTACAAGCTATCGGATGGTAAGAGTTCATTGAATATTTGACAAAAATAAAGTTAAACCGGTCAATGAGGTGCTACCATCTCAATCAGCACCTGTAAACCCATCTGTACACAAAATCTGTACAAGTATAACTTTTGTTGAATTTTTATTCGACTTTGATCGTTTTTTCCCTATTCTTCTCCCATTCACTTGCAGTTAGTTGATTTTAATCAAAAATCAAATATCAATGTCAATTACAAATTCATAATTATTTGCTTATTATTATTCACGAATTTCGTAAGATTCATTACTCATTTTTCTTTATAAATTATTAAACTGGGCCTAATAAAGTACACACAAATTCCCTTGAGAATAAGTTCAATGAGATAAACCAAAAGGCACGAGTTACTGGCGGCTCAAGTCGATGACCACATCACTCCATATATTTCAACACGTTGCTTCACTCATAACCTCAAAACACAAATACTTGTCTTCAACTTTAAAGTAACCCTTGCTTCATTAGCCCACGAAAATTACAAGCCACAGAATTTTCCAGCTATAACCCTTTGTACATAAAATTCCATGCCTTTCCGACAATTAAAAAAGGATTCAGAGAGAAACAAAAAGGAAGGGACTCATATAATGGGTGGTAGGTAAATGGAGACTTTAGATTTTCATAGCGTATAATCAAGAAAAATAAGAGAATACGGAGAATCAAGGATGGACTCAGTTCTCTGTGATGAGTTGCTTCAGGAAATCTTCCACCGCCTTCCGCCGCTGTGTTCCGCCAAAGTCTCCCTCGTTTGCAAGCGGTGGCTCCGCCTCCTCCGATCATCCACCTCCTCCCTTACTCTCTACTTCAGCCCCACTTCATACAATTCCACCACCATTAATTCACTTTCATCCTTTCTAAGCGAACACCCTTGTCTTTTTTCACTATCTCTTACCCTCCCCACCGACTGCCCCACCTCCTCAGCCGTTCATGTCCTCCTTTGTGCAGCTGCTTCTTGCCCCAATCTCAGGCTCCTCCGATTTCTGAGCACCCCAGTATCGCCCTTCTCTCTGTTCAACCTCTCCAATTCGTGTAATCACCTCTCTTCTCTCACTATCTCTCTCTCTAGACCCCTCTATTTCCATTGGGTTAAGTTTTTCAACTCTCTAAAACACCTTTCCCTCTTTCTTGCAAACCCTTCAACTCAATTTAATTCACTTTATGTCAATGAAATGAACGAAATTCTTGATGTTGAACTGGGTTTAGAGAGTCTCTCTTTATCCGGTATTCGACCGGGGGATTTTGGGCTTAATTTTCTATGGAGAAACTGTAAGAGCATCAAAAAACTTCAGCTGAAGAGCTGTGAAAGTTTGGGTGATAACGCTTCTTTTTTGGGTTTCATTATGCGTCAAAAGGGTCTTCAAGAAGTGGAATTGAGAACTTGTAGGAGTATTGTTGATGGGGTTCTGATGAAATTGGCTGAGAATTGCATTTCTTTGGATTTTCTGTTGGTTTACGATGGTGGTGGTAGCGAAGGTTTGCATCAATTCATAAGTCAAAACAAATGTAAATTGAGAAAACTTGATTTTCGGTTGCCTCTTGATCTTTATGACGGTCATTTGATTGCCATATCCGAGAATCTGAATTTTAGGAGTTTGGTGAGTTTAAGGTTGCAAAGTTGCTGTCTTGTTACTGGTGAGGGATTAAAGGCTCTTGGGAGGGTTATGGGCAATGTGCTTGAAGAACTTGCATTGATTAATTGCGATATTGTGGAGAGAGAATCCGGGCTATTGACCACTTTAGGACAGGATTTGAAGAGGTTAAGGAAATTAGACTTGTCTTATAATGAAATGTTGCTCGACAGGGAGTTCATATCAATGCTCGTTTCTTGTAATTGCTTGAGTGAACTTAAATTGAGGGGTTGTAATAGGTTGACTAGCTTATCGGTGAATTCGATGATTAGGAACTGTAAATTGTTGCAGAGCGTTGATATAACATCCTGTTGCGGGATCGAGGTGGAGGCAGTTGAATTATTTCTGTTGAACACCCCGCAGTTGAGAAAAGTGCAAGTCGAGCAAAGCAAAATTTCCAATGTTGCGAGAACATGGTTGATGAATAAATTCATCGAGGTGGTAGCTTGATGATCTGGAATAAAGCGTGAATCAAAGAGGTGCACATATTCATGGCCATGTTATAATTGGTTTAATGTCTCTTTGGCTTTAATGTGTATATACTAAGAAATAAAATGCTCACTTCTGTTGCTGAAAATGCTAAAGTCACTGGATTCAATATGTAACAATGCGTAAACTTTTATTCTGTTGATATATATTTAAGCATTCTTGAAGAAGCATCTGTTTGTCACCATTTCATATTTGTGCTAAAGTGGTCATGTTGTTCATAGATATTCCGCGACTCATCTTGACAATGTAGTCCTCGAATGTACTTGTTTCCTTACATGCTTGGTGGATTGCTCTTTTAAGATAATCAATGCTAATTGGTTTGTTCTATATGGTAAATTTCGCTATGAAACTAGAATTGAAGCTTTATTTGATATGGGATATCGAGATTTTACATAGATTATATCGTGGAGTACTTTGCTTGAAACATGTAGGTTATTGAGTTGATCTTTAGAGATTTACCACTCATTTGATGAAGCATAAGATGTGTCCTATGATTAACTGAAAATTTGCTAGGTTACAGTTTGACGGGCAAAACTAAGAGCCAATTCTTGGCAGTAGGCACTGTCAATGAACTACTGTGCCATTCTCATTAGAGGGTGCACAAAGTGGCAGATCTTGCAGTTGTATTGGCTTTTTTTGTTTATTCGGGTAGGGTTTCACTTGTAATAGATGGTTTAAATATAAGAACAGTGCTCGGAAGAGTCTGTGTTTTTTCCTGTTTAGTAAAGAACATCGAATCAACCGAGTTAAACCTGAGATTTTGTTGGGATCTAGAATGACTCAACGTTATTGTGTTTTAGCCCTTTTTTGTGCAACTTTCAGCAGTTGGGGATAATTTGTTGATATGTGAACGAGGCATTTTTATTTTAATTGGGGATAATTGTTGATTGCGTCAAAATTTGGTCCGACCAGTGGTGTGAAATTGTGGTTTATGGAGATGCAATTTCTTTGCTGAATGCATCTATCGAAATCGAGCCATCCAATCACTAGTGCACTACCTCCAACAAGAGAGGAGATGATCTTGTATATTCATGTGCTACAATTATCCATTCAAATCACGACCTCTCGAATCTAGAGTCACTTGAAATATGACACTTTCGTTGCACATTCACTTTGTATTTCTTAGTGTCTTGAGGTCCAAGGTATTGTAGTTTGAATGGAAGGTATCACATGGTCATACACAACAATCCCATTTGAAGTCTTTTTTTTTTCTTTTTGTGATATTCATATGGCAATGGGGTCATTATTATATTGATGAAGCTATAATGCAATCTTATTCATCAGCCAATGTGATAATGATCATAATATCACATAAATTTATGATCATCATCCCTCCACATAAATGACAATATTATTCTTAAGAAGTTACTAAGGAGAGGAAGAATTTGTGGGTACACTTTCCCTACTAGTATTTCAACTTTAAACCATGAGTTAAGAATCAATGAATCTACAATGTACTGAATAGTGGTACCAAAACTTAGTGAACTCTTGTCGGGACATGGAGAATAAAGGGACTTCTCGTTTTTGTTCATGTTGGGTTAGTGTCTCTTCAACATGAATAATGTTATCTAGCATTAATAACGTTTAACCACTTGTTTAAGTGATCATACTTGATAAATTCAAATAAATGAATCAAATGATGTTGAATTTAACTGAACCCATCATTTAATGACATGCAGTTGTCACCTAAATTGGTACTTAATATCAGTGATTCTGAATAACATTATTGTGTTTTAGGAACAATGTTCGGAAGAGTCTTTGTTTTTTCTTGTTTAGTAAAGAACGTTGAATAAACCAAGTCAAACCTGAGATTTTGCTGGGAACTAGAATGACTCAGCATTATTGTGTTTTAGCCCCTTTTGTGCAACTTTCAGCAGTTGGGGATAATTTGTTGATGTGTAAAAGAGGCATTTCCCTTCTGCTTCTTCTTTATATCCTTTTTTTTTTAATTGGGGATAATTGTTGATTGCGTCAAACTTTGGTCCAACCAGTGGTGTGAAATTGTGATTTATGGAGATGCAATTTCTTTGCTAAATGCAGCTATCGAAATTGAGCCATCCAATCACTACTTCCAACAAGAGAAGTTTCAAGAAGAGATCTTATATATCAATGTGTTAGAATTATCCATTCAAATCACGATCCCTCAAATTTAGAGTCACTCGAATACACGACAATCCCTTTTGAGGGTTTTTTTTTTTATAAAATGAAGCTATAATGCAATTTTATTCATTCGCCAATGTGATAATTATCATTACATCACATAAATTTATGATGATCATCACTCCACATAAATGACAATTTTATTCTTAAGAAGTTAATGGAGAGGAAGAATTTGTGGGTACACTTTCACTACTAGTATTTCAACTTTAAACCATGAGTTAAGAATCAACGAATCTACAATGTACCGAATAGTGGTACCAAAACTTAGTGAACTCTTGTCGGGACATGGAGAATGAAGGGACTTCTCGTTTTTGTTTATGTTGGGTTAGTGTCTCTCCAGCATGAATAATGCTATCTAGCATTTATGACGTTTAAACACAAGTGATGTGATGGAGAATATATGGTTGAAAAAGAAGGAAAAATTATTGATGTGATGGAAAATATTATTTTTTTGAAGAATGTGTAGTTGAAAATGAGTAGAAGAATGAGAATGAAAAAAATAATGTGGCCGAAACAGGGGCTAAATGATCATATTTGATAGGTTCAATTAAGTGACATTTCATTTAAGTGAGTTTACCATTTAATGAATGACATGCAATTGCTACTTAAATTGGTACTTGCTTTCAGTGATGTTGAATAACATTAATAAGGGTTTTGGAGAGCAGTACTCTGATTGGCTGCGGCGGGGGGCTGGCAGGCAGTGTGGATGCCCCAGTGGCCTGTAAACGAGTTAACCCAAAAAGGTTGCGACTTGAAATTTGATTTGGAAAAATTAAAAATTAGAAAAAAGGGAGGGAAAGTTTAAAAAAGTTGAGAATTTTACGTTGTTATTCTCAAATGTGGGATCTTATTCTTCATAGGGTTCCTTTTTTATTTTTTAATGCCATTAATTTGTGGATCTCAATTCGTACCTTCTGTCTTTCACCCTCTTCAATGCATTGGGTTCCTATCCGTTTGCTTACCCTTTCATTAATTCCAATTCAATTGTGTTATTGACATTTTTTTCAGCTTATAATTAGTAGAAATTAATCAATTTACTATAAGAAAAGCTTTTAATTAGCTCTTTATACCATTTAATCTTTCTTATTATTCCCACACGCTAACCAATTTACGACTTTATTATGGAAAGGCACTTAAGATGAGAGTACTTTGCAATAGTTATCAAAGGTATAGCTTTATTCAATCAATTAGAAATAGTAACTATCACTAACCAAATTATGGAGACTTTAGATTATTTTGACCTATTTGTTTAAATTTTTGTCGATCCCTTTCTTATACACAATTTTGGCTTCAACTAGACGTGACGTCATATTTACTCTGATTCAGCTTCCGAATCAACTAAACAAAAAATTTCAACCACGATACTATGGCCTTGTATGGGAGGGATTAAAATCGGATTAAAATTGAAAATATAGCCGTTATTATTGACTTTTATTAGACGAGTGGAACCCAATAACGGTCATATTTTCAATTTTAATTTGCTTTTAATCCTTCTCGAACATGGCCTATATATAGAAACAATAGTTGCCACATTCAAATCATACTTTGTTTCTCCTTCAAATTTATGGCTTTGGTGAGAATCTAATCCAAAATATATTTAAATATGATCAAGAGATCGATCTCCTAACATTTAGGGAGAAAAGGGTCAATGAATTGACAAATTATTGATCCAAAATAATGAGATTTTTTTCCCTTTTTGGTGCATATGTTGCTTCCTAGAAGGAAACAATGATGAAAATTTTCAAACTAGATGTGACGTCACATTAACTCTGATTCCGCTTCCGAATCAACAAAAAGTTTCAACCGCGAATTATATATAGAAACAATAGTTGCCACATTCAAATCATACTTTGTTTCTCCTTCAAGTTTATGGCTTAGGTGAGGACCTAATCCAAAATATATTTAAATACGATTGAAAGATCGATCTCCTACCATTTAGGGAGAAAAGGGTCAATAAATTGACACATTATTGATCCAAAATAATGAGATTTTTGTCCTTTTTTGGTGCATATGCTGCTTCCTACAAGGAAACAATGATGAAAACTTTCAAACTTATCCTTACAAATCTGAAGTGGGCATTAGATGAAAAGCATTATACATTGTATGTATCTACAAATTAAGACTGGGTATGTTTATTAAAATTCAAAATGACAAGAATCTGACAAAAAACTTTAATTTCTGCTAGTTTTAAAAATGGCTTTGTTAGTGAATGGTAATCCCTAGATAACTTTCTTTATATCTAAAGAAGCCATTGCATTGCATTGCATTAGGTGAACTTCCCCTTATCATCTTTTAAACTAGTGGCTTTGATTTTGCACAAAATCTTATATTACTTTATAGAAGTTTGTGTAGCAAGTGGCAATACTTTAATAATCATGAAATTAAAGTAACCAATATTAAAATATCGGTTAATTTAGTCAATACTTTCGCTTATTCGTCTTGAACATTTATTTTTTTCATATGTGCTTTTATTGACCAACATGTTTGTTCTGAATAGAAAGCATTTTCTTTTCAACTTATTTGGGGAATACGCATAGGAGCAGGCAATTATCGATTCAAAACGAACTAACTCGAGTAGATTTGATTTTCAAGTTGGTTAAGTTTTTAAAAAAAATTGATTTTCAAGGAAAAATTCTATTCAACTCGACATACCAAGTCGACCCAAACCAACTCGAATTAGTTTATTTATCTTGTCGTTTCAATATTTGAATTCGAACCCGACCTATGCCACCCCTACATTACATACACATGCTTTCCAAATAAGCTAATTACACATACTGTTCAAATAAGCTGGAAAAAAA